AGAATGGGACGCAAGTACTAAGTGAGCAAACCGAACACCTAGAACAACAAGGAAGAGGGCAGCGGCAAGCTCTGAATCTGGTCACCAGAACGATGACGGCACAAGGTCACCTTTCCAGTGGAATTCGGGTTTGGCTCAGATAAAGAGATGGGAGGAACACAGAATGAATGGAATCTTGGTCCTAAAGCATTTCCTTTTAGGAGAGAAGACCTATTTTATTCTTATTTTCGCAACTGGCAAGTTATTGAGCAGAAACTCTGAGCGGAAGCTTTGGGCACAGCCTCCTTCCACTCTATACATTCAGTCCTTCATATCCCTTCTCTGTTTTTCTTCCCCTTCAGATTAAGTGTAATTTCTAACCATGTTGTCTTGTCCTGCCTAACTCCTTTCAGAACATCAAAGTGGCAGATCATCTGACCCCTGTCCCTGGTCTGACCCAGCATCCCAGACGGATCGTAAGTTCCTTCCATCCAGCACTGTCGGGGGCTTTTCTCGACGCTCTTCATGTTTTCTGCATGTTGTGCGCACCTCTCTGTCAAAACACAGCTAACTGTACGTGGCGTGTAGAGAATATCTCGTGTTTTCAAAGACAGACTTTTGGAACTGTTAGTAAGTACTTACTCTATACTGTGAGGCTAGTAAAAGCTAAAATAAGTACAAAACCAGATTTGTAGAATCAAAAAACTCCACAAAAACAAAAAAACCTAAATAGCTCCTTTGACCCTTTTCCGAGGATAGGTCAAAAAGTAGCAGAGAAAGAAAAGAGCCATCCAGATAAGTTCTGTAGAACTAAACTATCCTTGAAGAACTAGCTCCTGGCTAGTTGGTCATCTGTGACTTTCTGTGACTGGCACCTTACCTCATCGGATACCTGGGCACTTAAAGAGCAGATTCCATTAAATAGATCCATTCGCATTCCAGCCAAACTACTACCTGACTAGCTAGGTAAAACATCATTTTATTAGAATCGTAGTAGAACATATTTCGAGGATCTCTTAGGATATAGGCCAAAATTCTATAAGGAAGACCACTTGAAGAAGAAACAGGACATAGAAGAAATAAGACATTTGCACGCCTTGTACATTATGACCATTTGTATGTTAAACCACAAGGGCCTTAGGTGAAAGACAAACTGTATGGACAAACCCTGAGCTACATTAACAAAGTAAAAAAGAAGGCTCCAATAACAAAAATCAGAAATGAAGCAGGTGACATAACTAACACCACAGATACAAAAAGAATTAAAGGAGAATACCATTGTCGGCATGTGCCAATAAACTGGAAAACCTAAAAGAAATGGATAAATTCCTAGAAACACACAACCTACCAAAACTGAATAATGAAGAAAGAGAAAATCTGAACAGACCGGTAAGTAGAAAGGAGATAGAAAAAACTAACTCAACACATTAGGCCATATACGGAAAGTCCACAGCTAACATCGTACACAATGGAGAAAGACTGAGGCTTTTCCTCTAAGATCAGGAACAAGACAAGGATGCCCACTCTTGTCACTTCTATTCAACACAGGAGTGGAAGTCCTAGCCAGGTAATTATAGGCAAGAAAAGAAAAGGCATCCAAGTTGGAAAATAAGTAAAATTATCTCTGTTCGCAGATGATATGATTTTATCTGTAGAAAACTCTAAAGATTGCACACATACAAAGATACTATTAAAACAAATAAACCAATTCGGCAAAGTTGGAAGACACAAACCCATCAAAAATCAGTTGCATTTTAGAAGAAGCATAAGAATATCGGGAAAAAAATCAGTTGTACTTCTTTACCCTTACAATGAACAATCCTAATAGGAAATTACACAAACAATCCCATTTGCAATAGCATCAAAAAGGATAAAGCACATAGGAATAAACTTAAGGGAAGTGAAAGACTTGTACACGGAAACTACAAAACATTGCTGGAAGAAATTAAGACACAAAGAAATGGAAAGACACCCTATGTTCATGGATTGGAACACTTAATATTGTTAAGATATTCACATTATGCAAAGCAATCCTACAGATTAGAAGCTTTCCTTCTAAAAATCCCAATGGCAGAAATAGAAAAATCCATCCTAAAATTCATATGAAATTGAACAGACATAATAATCTTGAAAAAGAAGAACAAAGTTGGAAGTCTGACATTTCCTGATTTCAAAACATATCAGTCATCAAAACAGTGTGGTACTGGCCTAAAAACCAACAGAATAGATAGCCCAGAAATGAACCCTCACATATGATCAAATGATCTTTGACAAGAGGACCAAGACCACTTAATAGGGAGAAGATAAGTCTCTTAAACAAATAGTGCTAGAAAAACTGGATATCCACATGCAAAAGAATGAAGTTGGACCCTAACCTAACACCATATACAAAAATTCACTCAATATAGATTAAAAACCCAACTGTAAGATGTAAAAATATAAAACTCCTAAAAGGAAACATAGGGGAAAGCTTCATGACATTGGATTTGGCAGAGATTTCTTGGCTATGATACCAAAAGCACAGGCAACAAAAGCAAAAATAGACAAATGGGACTTTACACTTAAAAACTTACGCACACCACAGGACACAAGTAACAGAGCAAAAAGGAAACCTGCAGAACGAAAGAAAATGTCCACAAGTCACATGTCTGAGAAGGGGTCAATATCCAGAATATATAAGAAGCCCTTCAACTCAACAACTAAATAACAACCAAATTAAAAATAGGCGAAGGGTTTCAATAGACATTTCTCCAAAGATGGCACAGAAATGGCCAACAGGCACCTGAGAAGATTCTCATCATCACTGAGCCTTAGAGATATGTATATCAAAACCACAATGAGATATCGACTCACACTCATTAAGATAACTATTATCAGGCCGGGCGCGGTGGCTCACGCCTGTAATCCTAGCTCTCTGGGAGGCCGAGGCGGGCGGATTGTTTGAGCTCAGGAGTTCGAAACCAGCCTGAGCAAGAGCGAGATCCCGTCTCTACTAAAAATAGAAAGAAATTAATCAGACAACTAAAAATATATAGAAAAAATTAGCCAGGCATGGTGGCACATGCCTGTAGTCCCAGCTACTCGGGAGGCTGAGGCAGAAAGATCACTTGACCCCAGGAGTTTGAGGTTGCTGTGAGCTAGGCTGACGCCACGGCACTCATTCTAGCCCGGGCAAGAGTGAGACTCTGTCTCAAAAAAAAAAAAAAAAAAAAAGATAACTATTATCGAAAAAATACAGAAAATAATAAAGTGTCAGTGAGAATGCAGAGAAAGTAGAACCCTTGTGGACTGTTGGTGGGAATATAAAATGGGGTAGCCACTATGGAAAACAGTCTGGTGGTCACCCAAAAAATTAAAAATAGAATTACCACCTGATCCAGCAATTGCACTTCTGGGTATAGACCCAAAAGAACTGAAAGTAGGGTCTCAAATAGGTATCTCCATACCCATGATTGTATAAGCATTATTCATAATAGCCAAGACACGGAAGCAACCCAGATGTCCATCAACAGACAAATGGATAAACAAGAAGTGGTCAACACATATAACAGAATATTATTCAGCCTTAAAAAGGAAGAACCTGTCACATGGTACACCATGGATGAAACTTGAGGACATTATGCTTACATAAAATAAGCCAGTCACAAAAAGACAAATACTGTAGGATTCTACTCATCAGAGGTACCCATAATAGTCAAATTTTAGAAAGTGGAATGGTGGTTGCCAGGGGTTGAGAGCAGGAGGAAATGGGGAGTTAGTTGTTCTTCAATGGGCATAGAGTTTCAGATTTATAAGGTGAAGAAGTTCTGGAGATCCACGGTCAAATAATGTGAACACACTTAACACTGCTGAACTGTGTGCTTAAAAGTAGAAAAGATAGTACATTTCATGCTATGTGTGTTTTTTCTTTAATCACAATTAAAAAAAAATATAGTAACTGTATGGAGGTGTTTCTGCCAAGACTTGTCAGGGTAACTTCAGGTGTAAAAGGTGCAGAAAGACATACGATGCAGAGAACTGAGTGTCGCGGTGCTTGTACGCTTGCCTGAGGTTCACAGACACTACCGCGTGCAGCAGACGCAGACAGAATGACTACAAAGGGTATGTGTCTGCATCTGTGTACGTGTGTGTATAAGCATGTGTGTGTATGTTTAATTCAACATACGCCCTGCCATTAGCTGGGTCCTTGCAAGAACATTCTCTAGTTCCCAGGAATATCCAATCAACATGTTTGGACATATGTATAAATATAAATAATAACATACATTTCAAAAATGTGTGTGATTCATATTAATATAACTTTAAATCTAAAATTACTGCCATAACTGCAATTTTTTCCCCTCGTCCGCGCCAGGAATTCTAAAGACAGTGTTCACCATGTTGTCCTAGCAGGATCTTCAAAACAGTCTACTTTCAAGCATTTTTGGATCTGTAATCTAGAACATTCTTGACCTTCTCACTTTTAGCAAGAAGCAGCAGGCAATCCCATTCTGACTGAGCGTCAGTTAACAAGCCTGGAGGGAACAAAGTCATCTTTCCTTTCAAAAGAAAACTGGATACAAGTCAACAAAGGGCTGCGCGGCACACAAACAGACAGGCTAAAAATGAGTTCGGCTTTTAACTTTTTCTTTTTTTTTTTAAAAAAAATTAAGCTTCTTTGGGGAGATTTAGCTGCTTATCAATTTGTTAAAGTTTGAATAGTTGCTGAAATACTAATCCTATATCTGATTTTGAAAAGAAAAAAGCCAAAGCCATCTATTAAACTTTGGAGCAATTCCATCATCAACATAATCTTTACAGAATATTGATATAAACAAAACGCAAATGGTTTTGGACCCCAGAAATCAGTGAAACTGATGCATATTATTCTCACTGAGCCCCCGGGAGAGACTCAGTTCCGAGATTTAACAAGACAAGAGAGGACAGACTAAGCGTGCCCTGTGGCCGACCGTGCAAGTGATTTACAGCAACGCTGCTGATGTTCACAAGCGTGATTCCGCATGCAGGGGGGAGGACCGCACCTGGCATGAGCGCAGCCGTGGGGAACAGCTCCTTTAACTTGGCTTGGCTTTCTTCCACCAGCTCCTCCTTGGACATGGGGAGCTGCAAGACGTCTATGATGATCTGCGCGGCCTCCAGCGCCTTCTTACCCATAACCAGGGATTTCACGTCCCAGGTGTAATTCTTCCCGTAGCGGCCACATATTTCTTGAAACACCACTGAATACAGCCGTTCAGTATCTGCAGAAACAGAATGAGACAAAGATAGATTTTTATAGCGCACACTACATGAACGATACGTCTGTATCAGATCAGCGTACTTATGTGTCAGGTAGGTCATGTTCAGTGAGAAGAGGCTTTCCCAGAGAACCGAGTAAACTGAAAATGTGTGTGGCCATTCTTACTCTGAGCAGCCTCCTCCATACAGCGGGCCCCGGACCCCCAACCCTGTGATGGATGCTGTCCCTCCCTCCTCCATGCTTTCCCTGCTTTTCATGGCAAAACCACTCGTGGCCCTGGGTCAGGAGGAATTTCATCTTTGGCGCGTTAGCTATTTTTCTCCTTGCTTCTCCACCACAAGCTGTATTTCACTGCAGTGCTGTACAATGTACAAATCTCAGAGTCTCCACCCTTCTGGACACTTGAGATTGCTAAGGCATGATCCCTGAAATGAAGAGAGTAGGCTCTAAGAAGTCTTCCTCGGTGGTTTGTAGAAGCTGCAGTTTGTACAATAACCTGAGAAACTCGAGCTTTTATGCAACCTGCCTTGCACGTGGTCTCCCTAAAGAAGTTCCCCGATGGGAAGAAGGGCTGGCCCACTCTCCTCCACAGGAGAGCTGTGAAACGCGTCCTCTGATGGAGGGTCACCCAGTAATGAGCCTCCTATTATGTTCTTGCTCCCCGTGAGGGGGAGAAAGGGCCAGGGCTCTCAGGGCCAGGAGATGGATGGAGCGGCAGTGAGGCGGCACGTTTTCCTTTCTTATCTTGAATTTTTCTTCTAGTAGTTGAGAGAGAAAGACTCACAAAGATAAACTGTAGGCACCGAGCAAGTGAGAAACTACTGTCAGGTTTTGAAGAGCAAAGCTAGGGAACGGAGGCCAGGAGGAGTACTGCTCAGGGCAGCCGCTAAGGCAGGCATGCAAAGAGGAAGAGGGGGCGGGGCATATGGATTCCAAAGACGGAAAAAGAGCTATATCCTCTAAAATGCTTTAAACAGTGTTTATTTAAAGCTTAAAATGTCACAGAGCGTTTAATTTAAAAGATACAGAACTGTAGGATTATAAATCTGTAGGGGACTGCATAGACAGCCATTTTTCTTCACAATTTAGATAAAATCATCCTAAATCCCCCATGGAATAAGGAAGGATCTAAACAAGTAATTAAACTCCTCAGATCAAATGATGACTACACCCGCTGATGACAGCACACTTAAAGGGACAGCGTTGTAAAAGGAAAAAAAGCTAAAATAAAATAAATAAGCCTGACATAGTGGTGCCAAGCTATGAGACGCATATTCTTCCCTGCTTGCTAGGAGCTGTAAGCTTTTCAAATTGCTTCAGTGTTATTTTTACCAGGAAACTCGACAGGTATTATCATAACATGCTACAGCCGCATATACCGCTACCTTCCACAGGTGAGTTAGAAAAACATCCTGTGCAAAGCGGGGCCTCCCTCCCAGCTGGGATCCAAGTGGCACGTGCAGAGGGCTGCAGGAAGTGCCAGGCAGGCCACGGCGGAGGAGGAGGGCTCAGAGGATGGGGCAGGAGCCAGCACCAGGGCCAAAGGCTACTCTCATCCTGAGTGGCAGGCGTGGTTCCCAGGCGGGAAATGTGAGGCATTCCGGCTTAAATGACACTGATGAGAAGGAAGTGCTGCACCTGGAGGAAGGCCAGGCCAATGGCCTCTAGGTTTCCAAGGCTGGCAATGTGCTGAGTGGCATCTTTGCTCATGGAGAATGAATGTATCTGAATGCTTGCTAGCCCATCCCTGACCCACAGTGGACAGCGGCAGGTTGTTTTACCTAATAAAGATAAAAGGGGTGAGGGTTTCCCCCAGCTTCTCCCTTTCAGGAAGCTGTACCACCGCACCATGCAAACATGCACACAACTCCAATTTAAGCCCGTGGGTTGTATCATTTAATGGCGAAACATCACCCATCGATCCATCTGTCACTAACAAGCCTGTATTATACAACCTGACTTTGCTCCCCGTCCCGCTTTCATGCAAGACCTACCACGAGGGGCTGGGAAAGCCAGGGCTGGTGGGCCTGAGAGGGGTGTGGTAAACTTTCCTCACCATGCTGACTTCGTAGGTCTGTTGGGGAAATGTGGTAAACATAGCCGCTGGCCTGCAGGCGAGAGGGTGTGAAAACTCAGGGAGGGTCTGAACCCTCCGCAGCTTACTGGCCACTGAGATACTCCTTGGTTTAAGTATCTGTAAAATGGGGACATTTTACAGATCATACTGCATCCTCGTTGTACTACATACCCTGCAAGCCTGCTGGGCCTTGGCTAACATCTGTAAAATGGGATGCTGGTCATTTAATCATGATACACACCTTGGGGGCTGTTGTGTCTATTGAGTGAAATAATCTATGCAGTGCCCTGAGCACCCCACTTGGCCCAGTTTCCTCTGAGCATCATTAGGTGGAACTGTCAGGGAATGCTTTTAGTAACTGCGAGTTACGAGGAAAGGACAAGATCTGCTTTCTCTCTGTACCCCAATGCTTCAGTAATGGCAAACAGCTGCTTAATCTGAGAAATTAAAGTGCCTCTTACCAAATATTCTATTAATACTAAAAAAAAAAAAAAAACTATTTGGAATTCACCAAAGCATCACACCTATCAGGCACGTGGAACTAGCTTCATGAACACTCACTAACTAATTGCCCCACCCAGCACAGGAAGAGGCCCTTGTTCAGACGCCCACACGGACAGTGAAAGTTTTCATTTAGCTGCAAAATATGACGTGGCCTGGCAAGAGGTTGTTATCACACTTAGTGTGAACGTTCACATATTTCCCTATAGAAATGTTAATGGATTTGATCAAGGGTGCTGCCTGAGAACCCCGAGAGTGTCACATATCATGGGACATGTGCATTCTAACACCTTTTTAAAATAATAATTAAAAACCCTAAATCTAAATACATCTGGCCCCACGGATTTTGAATAAGGGACTGTGACCTGAGTTTATTATTGCCAACTAGTCCAGTTAGACTTTGTGCATCTTCTACAACTTGAACAAATCAATTTAATGCCTTTTTTCCCAAAACTTATCTTGACATATCTTTTTTTTTTTTTGAGACAGAGTCTCACTCTGTTGCCTGGGCTAGAGTGCAGTGGCATCAGCCTAGCTCATAGCAACCTCAAACTCCTGGGCTCAAGCGATCCTCCTGCCTCAGCCTCCTGGGTAGCTGGGACTACAGGCACGTGCCACCATGCCCGGCTAATTTTTTCTATTTTTAGTTGTTTGGCTAATTTCTTCTTATTTATAGTAGAGACAGGGTCTTGCTCTTGCTCAGGCTGGTCTCGAATTCCTGAGCTCAAGCAATCCTCCCGCCTCGGACTCCCAGAGTGCTAGGATTACAGGCGTGAGCCACCGTGGCCGGCCAATCTTGACATATCTTGAACATAGTTTTAATTTTATTTCCAACTACAAAAAAAAAAAAAGGAAAAACCTAAAGCCAGTGTTTTGTGTTTCAGATAGGCTGGTTCCTATCTGAAATACAAAATAAACTCCATGGAAGGGCTGATCTTGAGCTAAAACCAAATTATCACAATCTGGCACTTATATAGACGTTAACAGACTGCCTGTTTGCCCTCACCTAGAAATTTGGCAGTTTGGGGTTTTTTGGTTTTTAGTTTCTTTTCAGTTTAGGTTTTCATTGAATATGTTATAAAACAGGTTTAGTCAGAAAGACCAAAACCTGTGTCATCAGACTCCTCAGACTCTTTTCTTTGCTTCCACTTCCTTCCCAGTGGGGCAGCGGTGGTGGGGGCGTTAGGGCCTCCGGCTCATGCAGCACCAGCTGCTGGAGCAGGGCCACCAGCACCCACACACTGCAGCTGAGGCCCCCAAGGCAGATGCAGCCAGGCCCACACGTTCAACAGGTTTATCAGCTGCTGTAACGAGGGCATCGATCTCACCGTCATTGCAGTGCAGGAGGAGGTCGCCCAGCAGACAAGGCAAGCTCAGAGACTGCGGCCCTGGCACCGGCGCTGCCCAGCGAGGCACTAGTTGCTGGATGACTGAGGGCCTCACCCCAAGGCGGCCTTCGCCTCCTCAGAAGGACCAAGCACCTTAGCGGCAGCTGAGGAAAAGGGGGCAGCGGTATTTCTGAATGTCTTTATGGTGGTGTCATTTTCCCAAACCACTGTGAGTACACAGTAGGTAACTGGAGGTAATTGGTAATTACTGAAGAGATTTAAATTGTAAATCCATTAGTTCTGTTCACCTAAGATATTCCACCACTTGTTTCTTTAGCCCTCTGTTTCTCAAAGTGTGGGCCGGGAACCAGCAGCATCAGTGTTCCATGAGAAGTTGTCCAAACTGCAAATTCTTATAACAGAATACCTGAAACTGGGTAATTTATAAAGAAAAGGAGTTGATTTCTTACAGTTCTGGAGGCCGAGAAGTCCAAGGCCAAGGGGCCACATCCGGTCAGAGCTTTCTTGCAGGTGGGGACGCTCTGCAGAGCCCCCAGGGGGCACAGGGCATCGCATGGTGAGGGGCTGAGCTGCTGGCTCAGGTCTCTTTTCCTCCCTTGGTAACTCATTAATCCCCTAGCTCATTAATTTGTTAATCCACGAATGAATTAATCCACTCTAGGGATGAGCATTCATGACCTAATCACCTCGTAAAGGCCCCACCTCTCAATACTGCCAGGCTGGGCACGAAGTTTCGACATGACTTTTGGCGGGACAAACATTCAAACCACAGCAGGCCCTGCCCCAGATCTGCAGAAACAAAAAACTGGGTGGGGCCCAGCAGTGTTTGATCGAGCCCTCCAGGTGATCTGGATGTGTGCTCAAGTGGAGAACCACTCACCTGGCGTTATGTTTTCACTGAAGACCTGTGCTCCATAAGGTCAGTGATTTTAAAAATGGATCAATCTTAACTAAGAAATGTTTAATTTTAACGTATGGATTTATTAGTAGACATTGAAGAAAGAACAATCCACGATGGGATGGCATTCATCCCAATCTACACTTTCCTCTGTTGCCTCCTATTACAACCTTCAA